GGGGGGGGGGGGGGGGGGGGGAGAGGGAAGACTTTTTACTGTAATAGCTTTAATGGCTTTCCCAGTGCTCCCAGTCCAGGAGTGGAATGGTCCCAGGGTAACTGGAGGTAACAGGGTAAGGAGAGGGGGAGGAATTGCACAATGGTCTCTTCCAGCCCTACAGAGAGCCTTAATTCTTGCCCTAAAGTCATGGTCACATGCTCAAGACAGTTTTATTTGCCAAATGTAACATAAGCAAGGGACTAAACACTTGGGATGAAATGTGAGCCGGGCTTAGTGTGTGACACCCTCACTAAATCAAGGCATGGGATCACCTCCCACTGTACATCAGCAGGACGCTCCTGCTGCTCCCACGGCACCAGCCAAGCAGTGACAGGAGCCCATACATCCCTGCCACAGGGATGACAAGAGCATCCCACCCCACGCGTCCCAGGCCTGGCTTCCTGCTGAGCCTGAGACTTGAGCCCACCAGCCGTGGCTGAGGATGCTCCAGTGCCTCGCTCAGGAAGGGATGCCCAGTTACCCACCCTGCAGGGACAGATAGCTGCTACTGCAGCTCATTTCCCTTCACTCATCTTGGGCTTCCTTGTACTCATGTCACATATTTCACAGAATCCCAAAATGGTTTGGGTTGGGAGGGACCTTAAAATCCATCTCATTCCATGCCCTGCCATGTGCAGGGACACCTTCCACTATCCCAGGTTGCTCCAAGCCCCATCCAACCTGGCCTTGGACACTTTCAGGGCTGGGGCAGCCACAGCTTTCCTGGGAATTTGCTGTGTTGTTGCAAACAATGTTGGGTTCATCTCCACAGCCATCAATTACTGCAGGAATTCCTTTCTATAACCCAAGTGGGACAAGCTGGGACAACACCCAAGTTGGGGTCCTTCACCTCAAAATGGCACGGCAGTTTTGAGCCTGGCTTATGCCTTGGTTTTCACTGCCCTGTAAGACCTCCCCTGGGAACAGGAGCTTGGGCTCCATCACTGTTCACTTCCAGAACAGGCTGACAAGGCTTGTGAAGAGCCACAGCAGCCCAAGGAGACAAGAGATGCTCTGCATGTAACACTTGGTACCACTCGAAGGTAAAGGGAGGTGGCAAGGAGCCACCACCATTTCCTGCAGCTGTTGGGGATTCAGGAAATCCAAAAATTGTGGAGAATCAGGCTGAAAAGATAGCTCACTTTTAAAGGCAGGTAGTAAATTGGAGAGAGCTCAGAGAAAGCCCCTACAAAGATGAAAGGGCAGGAGGTATTGATTTACGTAGGAAGATCAAAAGAGCTATATTTGTATATAGTAGTCTAGCTAAGTGATTACTAAGTGTTCAAAGGTGTCGTGGTTTTGCGCAGTCGGCCAGCCCCTGGGGCTGAGGATGGTTTTGTCCAGGTGATTTCTGGACAAAAAGGCCAATCAAAAAGTTCAGTGACACCTTTGCTAATTACATACTTAAGAAAACAGAAGAGAAGAGTTGTTGCGCAGTTGAAATTAAGAGCAGCAGCCATGTAGAGGTGGCAACAAGGCCCTAAGGGGGGCTAGGCCCCCTCCTTCCCCGGCCCTGGGCCGGGGGCAAGTGTAGTACTGAAGCCTCCCCTTCTCTCTTGTAAGAGAGTGAAGAAAAAACAACTTTAAAAGATGAACTACTTGGACGAGAAACCGCTGTGGAAGAATTCCAGCCAAGAGATAACGAACCTCCAAGGTCAAAGTTGGCAGATGAAGCTGCAGCAAGAGAAGTAAGTATGAAGGGGGGGGGAGCCTTGCTTCTTGCTCTCTCCCTTCAGCAGGAAAAAGACTGAAAAATAATTCCTACTACCTTTAGAAGATCGTTGGGGTGAGGAGACCCCCCCATGCGGCTCACAGAGGAGCTTGTGGATGTACCAGAGAACCGAGACTTCATGAGAGGGATTGAGATGAGGCAAAGTCCTGCTGAAGACTTTGTGACCCTGAGGGAAACCCACGCTGGAGCGATGACGGCTCAAGTGGGATATTGGGATCTGTGTGTGGGATCCATACTGCTGTTGAAGATTTTGTGACCCTGAGAAAACCTCACGCTGGAGCAGGAACAGCTCGGGTAAGGATGTTGGGATCCATGCATGGGATCCATACTAGACTCATGCCGGAGAGGTCTATCAAGGACTGTTCTCCCATGGGGAGGGACCTCCCTAGGGAAACAGGGGTAGACTCTTAAGCCATTATCCCCTGTAACCCTGTGGAAGAAGATCCATGGTAGGCAAGTGTCCCCTTGCAAGACCATGGAAGACCCTTCAGGACCTGGGTAACCCCCAGCCTTCGGTCTTAGCCCAGGAGGGGGGTAGGCCCAGCCCTGGAGGCCAACATAGAGCAAGAAAGAGAGATGAAAGAATTCCAGCTGCGACAAGAGTACTGCAGAGTTACTGGAGAGAGAGCTGGCACTCCAAGAATGGAGAAAAAGACTACTTCTCCTCCTTGGACTGATATATAAAGGGGGGAGGAGTATTTCTGTAAATAAATAGCACTTCTACTTAAGTAGAATTATAGTAGATATAGTTCTTTAGTAGTTTTTATTTTGCTAGTAATAAATGTTCATATTTTTTTCCCCAAATCCTATCTCTTTTGTCTGCATAAACCTTCTCTCAACTAATAGTAATTGTGTGAGAAGTATGAAAGCAAATTATCCCAGAGCAAAACCACGACAAAAGGGAAGAGTTTGAAGGACATAAACCAAGAGAAGGACCATCAGAGTGAGTGTAGTGAAGAGAGCTTAACAGGAACAGTGCAGGGAAAGGAAAGGAAAGGAAGGGAAAAGAGGGAAATCTCAGCTGCCTGTTCAGAGGTGCTTTTGGCAGGGAGATGTCAGCGGCTCCATTGACACCACACACTTGGTAAATCAGCTTCCCAAAGCTTCCGAAGCCCCACCCTGCACTTTGCTCACTCCAGCTCCACCTCCAAAGCAGCTCATGCCCTCCCACACCATCCAGGAGCACAGGGGAAGGTCCTCAAGAGGGCCCAGGATGCCAGCACAGCCCTGTGAGTGCCCTCACTCCCACAATAATCCCAACAGGAATGGGAATAAGGCAACTGTATATCTCAAATCCACTTCTGAGGACCCCACTGTCCTGCTCCATCCACTCCAAAGCCTAAGGAATATGCATGCCCAAACAGTTATTTAAACGTGTTTGGAACTATCACTTCTTGCCTGCAAATAGTGTTTGCAAAGTGTTAACCTGAGAATGGCACAAACCCTAATCCCTCTGCACGGTCCAGTGACATCCCACACTGCAGGGGACCTTCTGCTTGATTCTGCTCTACCTTGGCTGGGTTATTCAGCATCTGCAGGGCAAGGGCTGGGACTACAGCCAGATCCACCAAGCCTGTTCTGTTCCTTGAGGTCATTCTGACCCAAGTGAGAAAAAGGCAGTTAAAATGACTTTTTAAGAAATAACTTACCCTCAGCCTCCCTCTGTGTGCTCAGGTTGGCAGATGTCTCTCCAGTGACAAGGGACTGACTCCTCTCCAAGAGGAGCAGCAGCCAGGAGAATTTCAGAGGCTGGTGTCTTGGAAATCCTCCATGGAGAAGAATCCTGTGTGCATAAAACACATATTTCTCATGCTGGGGTGAGCCCCAAGGCACGAGGGTGTGCAGGGCTGGAGCTGGGAAGGATCTGGAGGCCATATGCTCGATTAACCAGCTGAATTCTTAAGTTACCTCATAGTCTGGTATCTGCTTACTCTATTAAAGGCTGCAGCTCTCCACCCCAGCAGTGCCTGTCCAGCCTTTCAGAGAAGGCATTTCCTACCCTGCTGGAGAAGGGAAGGGAAAGATAAGTGAGAATCTGATAAGAGAGACTGATTGAATCACTCTGCCACTACCTGGGATACCCTGAAAACTTTATGGCCTCTCTTAGCCTGAAAACATCCACAAAAAGCTTTTGCTCCAGGATCAGCAGGGACATCCAGGCAGTTTAGATCAATTCCAATGCTCTGCTCTCTGGCCACATCATTCAGCATTTTATCCACCATTTGCTGGAGTGATTCTCTTTGCTGGGAACATTTATAGACAGCAGAAAGAGGGGTCACACAGTAAGTAACGATGAGAACAGGGAGGGTTGCACTGGAGGTTAAATGAGATCAGATACCAGGGGCAGGATTCATGGCCCCTTATAGAGCCACTAAATACATTTTTCTCACCCCATCCTATCAGGTGTCAACAGGGTCTACCCCAGTCGAGGGCCCCCTGATCCACGTGCCCAAGCACGGATTCAGGAGGATAATCATCCCTCCGTGGTTGGACAGGGTAACAGAGCACATGGGGTACTCTGCTCAGCCACATGTGCTCCCCTGACCACAAGCTGCTCACCCTGATCTGCAGGGCCTGGGTACAGCACTGTGGGAAAATGAAGTCTGATGCAACCAAATGCAAGATATCACCTCTGGGAAGCAGGAATGCAAATTGCAGCTACTTATGATGTGAGAAATGACTTCAGAAAGCACCACTGCTACAAGACTAAAGACGCCGGAGTAAGTGAACATTCAGCCAAGCAGAGACAAGAACTGGTTTTTCCCTGACCCTTTGCATTTGCTCCCTCTCTTACCTTCCATTTTTCTCCTTCTTTTACCCACATTTACATGACTCCATGTAAAGAAACCCAAACCCCTCCAACATTTCACACAGAGGCTCAGAGAGCCCCTGTGCAGAGCTCACCATAGCTCTGCATTTTCAGAGCTTTTCCAGGAGATCTGTGGTGTCCACACAGGGAGGGGACGCTCCAGGGAGCATTCCAAAGGATTCCAGAAACACAGTTGGAAAAACTCCTCACTCAGCTCAGCTTGTTCAGTTTGTTGAAGAGGTGCTTAAGAGATCCCAAGATGTCCAGACACCTCCAGCATGGAAACATCCTGGGTCCCAGGGCACTTCCAAGGATTTTGACAGCTACATGATGAGATGCAATGCCTGGAAGTTCAAGTCAGGTAAGTCTCAAAATTCAGTGCAATTTCCCAGCAGGGAGGGCAAGGGAACACTGGAGGAGCTCTTGAGGGTGTGGATCCTCCTCCTTTGACACCACTGGCCCAGCAGGAGATAACTTTGGGACAACCAGGCTTTAATCCAGCTCCTGGGAGACAGGATCCAGGCTCAGGGGAGTGGGGCTGGATAGTGCAGGGCATCCCCTCATGCCCCTGCTCCCTTCCTTGTCCCCTCAGCCACGACAAGAACAGGAAATCCTGTGTATTCTGCTGCTCAGCCTTGGACTCCTCATTAAGCCCCTTGCTGTCATCCAATCTCACTCCCCCAGACCTCAGCTGGTTGTTACAGACATTGGGAAGGAATTCATTTATTTATTCTCCTCCTCCAGGCTCATTTGACCAGACAGATGTTGCCTGCTGTTTCATTTTCTTTATCTTCTCACCTTCCTCTGTATTGTCAGAGGCTGTGGCTGAAGGCACATTGGCTGTGGCTGGAGGCACAGCCAGGGTTTGTAGGTGTGCCAGGAGTGGGGGTCACCTTTTTCTGTGCCTTTTGGGATCAGCCAGTGCCATCTCACCCCGTCCCCTAGTAGGGTGGGTCACGAGGAGTTTCCATGACATTTGGTTACGATGGCCGGTACCACACACATGGTTCATAACCTGCACATCACATGCTTTAGCCTGTCGAGTGACACCTCTATTCAGAACCTTCCAGGACTGCCTAAATCAACATATGTAAGAGTTTAAATTCAATCTCTCCCCTGCCCTGTCCCTTGTAAAACTCTTTGATGACTAAGCCCATTAGGGGAGGAGCAAATGGCTTGGAAATGTCACAGCTGCTCTCTGCTGACCTTATCAAAGTGCAGGATCAATACACTGACCCCTTCAGAGCAGGAAACCTTAAGCAAGAGTCAAAGAGAAGCAATTAAAGCAGAATTTCAAGAATGGGAGTGGAGGAGATAGAAATCTCCCCCTGTTCTGGCTCTAGAGAGTGAAAAACAAATGAGCCCAAAGAAACGGTGATGCTCAGAATTATCATATACATAATTAGTATGTGATAAAGCAGCAAATAAAACATAACATCCATTCATCATGCTGACAGCTGCAAAGCCATATTGCCAGGGCCTCAGGAGTTAGCTGAGGAGGGGTGCCTTCAGCACTGCAGGTACTAATCCTCACTGCCAGCTCAGGGAGACCAACGTGCCCGTGGCTCCACTGGATGCTGGCACATCCCAGGGACTGGTTCTGAGCAGGCAAGGCAGGATCATGTGCTCCTGCCTTCCTGGATTTGAAGGATGGAGAGGTATCAGTCTTAGTAGCAGCTAAGGTGTTTCCTGTGTGTCTGTGACTTGAGGCACACGGGGACCTTCAGGAGTCCTGCAAAGCTAAAGTGACTTTCCTGACATCTGGAATTTGACCAGCTCCACCATCTCATGCCTGCAGCAGTCCCTGCCATGGCTTTGAACCAGGCAAGTTATCACCATTCAGAACAACACCTCATCCCATCCTGGCAGATGGCAAAGCCAATTCAGAGAGCCTGCAGCCACAGGGCACTTGGTGTGTTCAGCTGGACAAGAGGAGACTGAGGGGAGACCTCACTGCAGTTCCAGCTGCCTGGGTAGGGGGAGAGGACAGGCAGGACTGAGCTCAGGACTCCCCATGATTCTCCATAAGATGGAAAAGTATTTTCAGATAAACTTGTTATTAACTTTCCCATCCAGAGGGCAATCCAAGGGGTAGAGGAGCAAAGAGGAGTTATGGTTCCCATGGAGGAGAGTTTAAAGGAGCAGCTGACAGTGAAAACACCAATCAAAATCAAAGAGAGGGGGATTAAAAGGTGAATAGCTTGTAGGACTGGGGAGTCCATCCAGAGCAGCTCTCTCTACAAGGTTTGGCCAAAAGAGAGATATTTTTCATTCTTTTTGCAGATATTGTTAAAATTTACCTTTCCTCACCAGGGTGAACACGAACCATTTGAAAGCACCTTGGAGACAAAACAAGAAGAAATCAACTTCTGCATCTCCAACAGAAACATCCGAGTTCCTGCTGGCAGTGCCACACTTCGCCCTTGTTGTGCCATGACTTCCAGTTTGGGAGAGCTCCCTGTTTACCTGGGGAGAAAAAAAAAACATAAAAACATTCCCTGGATTGCTGCAACTGCCCCAATTCCTGCGTAATCCATCTCACCATCAACCATGAGCTGGTGGGAGGAACAGGAAGAGCTCCAGTCCCAGCCCTTCCTCCTTCCCTCCTTTTTTATTTGTGATCCCCTCTAATTTCATCAACTTTTTTGCTGGTTGATTCTTCATAAACTCACCTTGTTAACCCAGCACAAGGCAGGATCCTCAGCTCTCCAGCTGCCCACCTTTTCCCAGCACCATCCCTTTCAGAGGTTATCACAAAACCAAAAATAAAATAAAGCAATCAAAGGAAGTCTCTGCTGTCCTGGGAAATTCTCTGTGCTCTGGGAGGCTCATCAAACCAGGGGAAAGAAAGCAATAGCAAATTTAACAGTGCCATCCACAGCAGACACAGATGGCTGCAGTTCCTAAATAAGCATTACATTAGTGCAAAGGAGAGGGGAAAAAAACAGATAAAGGGAGAAAGGAAAATATAACAGCTGTATCTTAAGCCCGGAGGCTGATGCTAAATCTCTGTTTGTAGATGCTTTCAGCACTGACAATAAAAGTCAAGTTGTTTCCCTGGTAAAGGGGCACTGCTGAGTGTTTTATCCACCATCCTGGACCTGCTAATCATTTGGTAGGAATATCCTCCAGCTGTCCAGAAGTCCAGGCAAAACAAGCGATGGGGGCAGAGAGGGAAAGCAGTAGGGAAAAGCACTAATATTTAAACAGTGTTTTACACTGCTTTGAATGGAGTGTTCTGCTAAACAAACAAACAAACAAAACAAATAAAAAGAAATCGATAGTGCAGGATGGCCTCCAATGCACTGACAGAAAGGTCATTCACCCCCTTGTCATTGCTGACATCCTAAAACCACAGCTCACACCATCTCCCCAGCACCCAGCCTGGAATTCTGCTGGATGCACAAAATGGAGGTGAATGAACTGGAGGGCCTTGACTTGAAATCTTGACCCTTCCAAAACAGAAGAAACCTCACTCTGGAGGAGCTAGGAGTGAAAGGAGGGTTCATAAAATGAATCATGGAATGATTTGGGTTGGAAGGGATCTTAAAGCTCATCCAGTTCCAATTCCCCTGCCATGGGCAGGGACACCTTTCACTAGACCAGGTTGCTCCAAGCCCCGTCCAACCTGGCCTTGAACACTTCCAGGGATCCAGGGGCAGCCACAGCTTCTCTGGACAACCTGTGCCAGGGCCTGCCCACCCTCACAGGGAAGAATTTCTCCCCAGTATCCCATCTAACCCTGCCCTATGGTAGTGGGAAGCCATTCCCCCTTGCCCTGTCACTCCAGGCCCTTATCTCCAGTCCCTCTCCAGCTCTCCTGAAGCCCCTTTAGGCACTAAAGGGGTTCTAAGGTCTCCAGCTCTCCCAGCCTGTCTCCAGAGCACAGGAGCTCCAGCCCTTGGAGCATCTCCATGGCCACTTCTGGACTTGCTCCATGTCCTCCTGATGTTCCCTAGGGCTGAAGGCAGCTCTGCAGGGGGGTCTCACCTGAGTGGGGCAGAAGGGCACAGTCCCCCCTCACCTGCTGCCCCCACTTCTCTGGACTCAGCCCAGCACGCAGGGGGTTTCTGGGTCCCAGATCTTGCTGAGCTTCTCATCCACCAGGGCTGTGCAGGGAAAGCTCTGCTCTCAGCTAGGGGCTGCTGAAGGTTTTTCTCCAGGATCTGGAAGAGAAAATATGAGTTTGCTGCCAGGAAAGATCACAGCTGACACAAATATTGGAGGAGCAGTAAATGATGCCACGACTGGGTTGGTTACAGCAGACAAGCTGTGCTGGCAGAGAGGCAGTGGGCTCTCAAATATCCACATGCCAGGCTGGGCTGGAGAAAACTATGGATGCACTTAAAAGTGCAGGCAGTCAGGTGAGAACCTCCTGGGGCATGGGGATAACCCCACTATTGGAGGTGCAAACAGAGATGCCATGAGGAAGGAGCCACCCCAACCCCGTGCAAGAGCAGCACCATGGTCCTGAGCCATCCTGCTCTCCACACTGGTGCCCATGTGCAGCCTGCAGCAAATTGAGCACTTGGGAGGAGCATTTTCCTGAGCCAGAATCTCTTCTGGAGGGATGGGGAATGCCAAGGATCAGCCATTGGAGTGGTGCACAGGCAGGTCCCCAGGGGTGGACCTTGTCTTCATAAACAGAGACAACCTAAATCCCTTCAGATCCCAAAACACCGAGCTCAAAGGACACACCTGTGCTGATCTTCAGGGGATGGGGTTTCCTGCAATCCCTCACATCCCTTTTCCTCTCCTTCGCTTTCTAAAAGGGAGGTTTCTCCTCACATTTCCATTAGTCTACAACAAAGTGCAAAATCTCCTGAGCTGTGGAATCTTCTGCCTCTTTTTGACCTGGTCACCCTTTGTTGCCACAGCCATTTATTTTGTTACACTGCATTATAACATCCGTGTCCTCTAAAAAACTCGGGTTCTTCAGCAAACCATGGGTGCCCTCAGTGGCCACTCCATCACTCACAAACACTGAGGATTATTACTGTTTTACGATCCTATTCCCACTCCATCCATGAATTAGCTACGCCAATTAATTATGAACCTTTGGGATTCCTCCTCGACCACAAGCCTTGAGACTGAGGAGTGAAAGGGATGGTATTACACAAGTGAGTGAGGTTTGGCTGCTCCTCTCTGAGCTCCTTGGGGATTTTCCATGGGGATGTTGATTTCTTGCTAAAGGAACAACTCACCTGGGCCTGTCAATACCAACCCAGCCTTGTTTCTAAACAAAACAATGACCCGAGTGTTTTGACAACATCAAAACATCATGTTTCATTATTTTGAGGGCATAGAATACCTTGATTTTAATTCTAAAACAGCTTTTCACTTGGAAGTTTCTCTTATACTCCAATTGCTTTGAAATGCCAGAATTGACTCAAAATATGTAAACAATTTTTAATGGTTTCACAGGGACATTTCAAAACAAAAAGTACATTTAAATTAAAGTCCATAATAGGAAATGCACTTCTTGCTCAGCTCTAAACTCAGCCTAACACCTGAATGGGCTTCAGCATAGCTGA